AATGCTGATCCAAAGTGAGAGTGCTGCAGCCGTACACCAGGAGCATACGCAGCTCTCTGCAGCAGGGCCGAAGAACTGGCCTGGATGCAGTTTTGGCTTTTTCGGAAAGAAAGTCATCACTGGGGAGCAGAATTCATCCGAGTGCAAAAGAGGGTTAAGAAACCCTGCGTGACCTACTTGTGAACCTCTCCTGATGCATCTCGAAGTAAGTTAGGAAACGAAATAATCTTGGGGAATAGTGCCTGATGACTACTTCTGCAGTCTCCTTGATGCAAAGCAGTCAAGAATTCACGAGCTGCACACGTGCCCGTGAATATATGTGCGTGCAGCTGTGCACAGTGTTCACCTAGCAGTCCTGCACATCTTTGCTTATAAACCACCCATCATGTGAATTTCTAAGCAATAACCCAAATTGTTTCTTTCCCCTAGCTCACACACAGGGAAAAATGCCCTTCAGGGGTGACGCCACATGGGACATCTGGATCAGCCTATGACCAGCCTGGAACAGAAGCAGCCTCTGCAGCAAGATGCGGCAAGATGGTTTGTGTTTGGGAGGTCTGTCAAAAATCTCCCTGACATCAGAGCCTGGCAGAAAGAGCTTGATTTAGTTCAGCTCCTCTGGGCATGGTGGGATCTCTGTTTTGAAGCAGGGATCTAAAGTGGTTCCACGCCAAGCTGTGGTAGCTGTGGGTTCAGGGTGTCAGACAAAAGGTATTTCAGTCAAGTAGATGACCTGATCCAATAGCTCTGGGTACAGAATCTGGCCTTCCTATAGCCCTGTCACCTGCCACCATTCTTCTGCCTGTACATTTTATCTCACCTTCAGATTCCTTGTGTACTGGGAATACGAGTGCTTTAGGACAGGGACTGGTCCTTGCTCTGCATCTGCACAATGGACCTCCTGCCACCTGGGTCCTGCAGGCTGATACAGCCGTGGGCATGTCCCTTGTAGTTAAAGGCAACAGAGCTGTAGATGAACGAAAAGAGATTTGCATGATAAGCACCTTTTGTTGCAAACTTAGTGTGAGCTGCATTGTGCTGCTGCTGCACTCAACTTCTTGAGGTCTTTCTTGGCCTTCCTCCTCCCTGAGGAAAGAGATTGTTTTAAGACACTTCTATAGTATCCTATTTTCAAAAGCAGTTGTGTGTTTGGTCAGCCTGCAGCATAAACCAGAGCAGCCTACGGGTTGCAGCGCTGCCAACTGGGCTTGTTCCAGTAGGAAAAAAACCTTAAAAATCGAAGTACGGCAGCGCAACATCATCTCTTTCCCACAGAGGCACTGTCTGCCTGGGGTTTAAAGATGACAGTGTAGCACCAGGCTATTCTGCAGCCCCCAGTGCTCATACGCTGCTTTGGGAGGGGTGAGGAGAAAGGAGAAAGAAGGACTCCCACTTATTAGCTTTTTTATTCCCTTTAGATCAGTGGAATAAAACACAGAGGCTGTAATGCAGCATTCAGCCAGGCCCAGTGTATTGGCCTAAACTGCATCTTCAATCAGGTCAGAAGACACGTGGTGGGAACAGGAACTATTTTTCTTTGCTATAAATAGTGAAGTACTGACTGCTCAGATAAATACACACGTATAAATGAATGGTAGAACCGGGCTTAAAGAGAGACTAAAGCAAACACTAACCTTTTTATAGTAACTCATAACAAAGATTTGCCTAGATGGCAGACTTGTATAAAGAAGTAAATTATCCAGCAGCACAGAGATGCTCTACAGATTGGCTCATGGAGCAGCCTCTCCAGTGAATAGATGTGGTTCAGGAAGAAGTGAATGACAGTTGTAAAAACATAAGCTATAGGTCAGTTAAATCAATAACAAAAAGTCACTCAATAACAAACAAACTGGCAGATATCATGGAAGTCTGCTTGTATTTATAAAGGATTTCTATTACTTTACGGCAGAGCTCAATGCCAAAGCCTTTGAAGCACCCCGGAAGCGGCGGCTGCTCATCCTGTCCTCCTGCCTGGTGTCCGAGGGACACGGCCTGCTGCAAGGGTGTGGTGCTCCGCTCCGAGGAGATAGCAAGAGCACTCCAATAAAACCCAGATGCTGCAGCCTCAGCCAGCTTTGAAGCCTTTGAAGATAATCACACCTTGAAAACACCCTAGGGCATGATGTATTTGCCAGGGAAGAACTCAAATGTTGATTAAAGAAGGCAATAATGCTATTAATTAAAGAATGACAAAGTCCTACTGCTCTTCAGAAAGAGGAAGGAAAAGAAGAAATGCTGTTTTCCTTCATCCTCCCTGTCTCTCCAGCCTTGCAGTGGATGACCTTTCTCACCACCATTCCCCAGGGACAGGTCCCACTGCTGTCTGGTGACATCAGCCTGACTGGGAGCTGTAGGCTGGGAGCAAGTCCAGAGTGATGCTGCTGTAGGACTGCCCCCCATGAGCGGCATCCCAAACCTATGGTTTCGATGCCATCGGACACAATTAAGACTATGTCCTGAGCCAGAATTCTAAAAGACAGCACTGAAGACACCTAGGGAAGCTCCTGCAGGTGGCTGAGAAACAGTACTCAAAACCAAATGTACAGCATATAAATGCAAAGATATCTCTTCTGGCTGGAATAGGAACCTGGGGAAACATCCCTATAAAATTGCCATCTTCCTATAGTCTTTCCTTAGCTGTCCGTGCCAGCCAGAGCCAGGGAGCGTAGCTGCTGCTGTTTGCAGCTCTGCTGACTTCTGCAGGAGCTGGGGCCTCTCTTGAAAAAGCTTTTGCATCAGCAAATAGTTGGATCCATTATCACAATACTCAGTTTTCCTCTTGACGGGGAAAAAAAGTGGTTATTGCTCTCCATACTTATTGCTCTTCAGGAATTTTCTAGTTGCGTACAAGAGAAAAGAAGCCATAAAATGGCATGTCCTTTCACAGTACCCATTTAGGGCTCTTATTCCATGCCCACATCCTTTAGGTTAATTCAGTCCTGTCAACCGCCTTCAGGTACTGCCCTGCAAGGGGACCTGGGAGGTTCATATGGCGATGGATGCCAGCCTACTCCTCGAAGCCCAGTGGAAGGTGAGGGAGAAGAGGCTGGTGTTGGGCTTCACTTGGGTGGGAGAGCAGGCTGGTGCTGGAGCTGGCTCCAGCCGCTAGCG